TCACGGAGGGCGTCCCAGCACACTGGTGACACCACCCCTCTGGGGGCCTGTGGCTGCTGTGACAGGGGTGACCAGGCCACCCCCACACATGCGGGAATGAAGGGCCCCCTGCCCTCCTGTGCGGGTGCCGCCCGGAGGCCGTGCACCCTCTCCTCCCGCCTTGAAGAGTGCGCCGATTCTCCTGCAGACAGAACAGCATCCTCTGGGCCTGGATTCCAGCTCTACAGACCGTCCCAGAACCTAAGGGGCCGCTCTGGGCCCGGATCCCACCTCTACAGACCGTCCCAGAACCTCAGGGGCCGCTCTGGGCCCAGATCCCAGCTCTACAGACCGTCCCAGAACCTCAGAGGCGGCTCTGGGCCCAGATCCCACCTCTACAGACCGTCCCAGAACCTCAGGGGCCGCTCTGGGCCCGGATCCCACCTCTACAGACCGTCCCAGAACCTCAGGGGCGGCTCTGGGCCCGGATCCCACCTCTACAGACCGTCCCAGAACCTCAGGGGCCGCTCTGGGCCCGGATCCCAGCTCTACAGACCGAGAACCTCAGGGGCCGCTCTGGGCCCAGATCCCAGCTCTACAGACCGTCCCAGAACCTCAGGGGCCGCTCTGGGCCCAGATCCCACCTCTACAGACTGTCCCAGAACCTCAGGGGCGGCTCTGGGCCCAGACGCCACCTCTACAGACCGTCCCAGAACCTCAGGGGCGGCTCTGGGCCCAGATCCCAGCTATATAGACCGTCCCAGAACCTCAGGGGCGGCTCTGGGCCCGGATCCCACCTCTACAGACCATCCCAGAACCTCAGGGGCGGCTCTGGGCCCAGACGCCACCTCTACAGACCGTCCCAGAACCTCAGGGGCCGCTCTGGGCCCGGATCCCACCTCTACAGACCGTCCCAGAACCTCAGGGGCGGCTCTGGGCCCGGATACCACCTCTACAGACCGTCCCAGAACCTCAGGGGCCGCTCTGGGCCCGGACCCCACCTCTACAGACCGTCCCAGAACCTCAGGGGCCGCTCTGGGCCCGGACCCCACCTCTACAGACCGTCCCAGAACCTCAGGGGCCGCTCTGGGCCCGGACCCCACCTCTACAGACCGTCCCAGAACCTCAGGGGCCGCTCTGGGCCCGGACCCCACCTCTACAGACCGTCCCAGAACCTCAGGGGCCGCTCTGGGCCCGGATCCCACCTCTACAGACCGTCCCAGAACCTCAGAGGCGGCTCTGGGCCCGGATCCCACCTCTACAGACCGTCCCAGAACCTCAGGGGCCGCTCTGGGCCCGGATCCCACCTCTACAGACCGTCCCAGAACCTCAGGGGCGGCTCTGGGCCCGGATCCCACCTCTACAGACCGTCCCAGAACCTCAGAGGCGGCTCTGGGCCCAGATCCCACCTCTACAGACCGTCCCAGAACCTCAGGGGCCGCTCTGGGCCCAGATCCCACCTCTACAGACCGTCCCAGAACCTCAGAGGCGGCTCTGGGCCCAGATCCCACCTCTACAGACGGTCCCAGAACCTCAGGGGCCGCTCTGGGCCCAGATCCCACCTCTACAGACCGTCCCAGAACCTCAGGGGCGGCTCTGGGCCCAGACGCCACCTCTACAGACCGTCCCAGAACCTCAGGGGCGGCTCTGGGCCCAGACGCCACCTCTACAGACCGTCCCAGAACCTCAGGGGCCGCTCTGGGCCCAGACGCCACCTCTACAGACCGTCCCAGAACCTCAGGGGCCGCTCTGGGCCCGGATCCCACCTCTACAGACCGTCCCAGAACCTCAGGGGCGGCTCTGGGCCCGGATCCCACCTCTACAGACCGTCTCAGAACCTCAGAGGCAGCTCTGGGCCCGGACTCCAGCTCTACAGACCGTCCCAAAACCTCAGAGGCAGCTCTGGGCCTGGCCACCACCTACAGACCGTCCCAGAACCTCAGGGCCAGCTTGTCCTGTGAGATCCCTCCCTGGGCGCAGGAAGCTGCCCTGTCACCCCTCCCCACTCCCCCGCAGGTCAGCTCACCTTCAGAGGGAAGGGCAGGCCCACGCACAATATGGGTCATCAAGGTGGAAAGCCCCTTCAAGGGGGGCTCTGCCCAGGCAGGGGAACCTTCTCAGGAGACGGTGCGCAGAGTTAGACCTGGGGGACAAACCCAGTTCCTGCCGATTCCCAGCAGGCTAACTGCCTGGAGGCCCTCCCCTTACAGGGGTCTGATGACCCCTCCCACGTACCCTACAGAGCCACTGTTCCGATGGGGAGGACCTGTGAAGGGGGATGGGGGAATGCTCTACCACATGAGGCCCGCTGAGGCCTCGCAGAAGGCGCACGTCGGACAGACCACGCGCCATCATACACGTGAACCAGCGAGACTCAGGGAGGAGGGAGCAGTCAGAGGGGGCACGAGCCTCCTCCCAGGCCTGCCCCCTCCCCGCACTCCAAGGGGAACAAATGCACCCGGATCCCTGTATCCAGGAAATCACCACTCAAGTGTTCACGCCTGTAAGAAATAAGAACCGGCCTTGTTCTGATCCTCGGAGGACCCGAAAGCCACCCTGCCTGGCTGCCCCTTCCCACCTGGGGACCAGACCTCAGTGTCAGCTCCCGGACACATTCCGACCCCGCCGCGCAAACCCCGGGTCGCTCTGTCCCACCACCCTTCGCGACACCGACCCGCTCACACTCTACTGTCTGCGTGTCCACAGTGGACGCTCCACGTGGCAAGGACGTGGTCACCTGTACTCAAGGCCGGAGCCCCAGGGCTTGGCGAGAGCATCTGGCTTGTGTCAAACACGCCACTGCTGGCCGAGTAAATGAGGCAAGTTTTGCACTCTGGAGTTGGGTAAGGGTGGTTTTAAACTGGAATAGAACATGTGAAATAGGCCACTGGCTGGGTGAACCCGGATAAAAGACTTCCCCTCTCTGAATCTGTCATTTCAACTGAGACACGGGGACAGCCCTCGGGCACAGGCCGATGTGGAGACTCAGTAAGACCAAGGGAGGCAGAGAACGCCAGGCTCGTCAGGCGCTGGCTGCTAACTGCTGCTATCAGCACTGCTGTTTCACTATCAACATTACCATGAACCCACGAAACTGACTCCACCTGGGAATTCCCGTTCAGCAGCTGGACAGCCTTCCTGCCACATGGCTGGGTAAAAACAACTATCAATAAACCAGAGATGCCAGCAACGAGACCACCTCTCAGCATCGCTGGGGAAGGAGATGTTCTACTACAGGGCAACGTTCTAGATGTGATGACTCTTCAATCACTGAAATTTACTCTAGTGCTGAGACTCGGTAACATGTGGAAACATCAGAAAAATACAGACTCAAATTCTAGCTCTTCGCCTCTAAGTCCTGTGTGTGTGTGAGGGGGTTCATTTAGCCTCTGGGAACCCCAGTCTCATCAGTAAAAATGGGAATATCAATGGCCCCAGAGGTTCTTGAAAGGATTAAAGACACTGCACGTAGAATACTGGCACACGGCAGAGTGAAGACAAGCTGGACTGCACAGTGACGTGTCTGGGGCCGTCGGCTCCTGGCTTCCTCAGAGCTGTGCTCTGGATCCTGTGTTGGGGGTCTTTCTGTTGATGCGTGTGTCAGATGGACACGTGTAATTCTGCATTCTGCAGCATGTATTATATCAAACCTGCTCAAAACTGGACCACCACACCAACTGTCTGCAAGGTGGGGCCTGAGGCTCCTTCTGCAAGGCTGACATCGCCGCGTCCGGACAACACACCGCGGCAGTCGCATGCTCTGCTTCTCTCCTGTCTTTTTTCCGCCTACACCCCAGGTTAGGTCAGGGTGGGCACACTCCAGACTGAAGGCCAAATGCTGCCTACCTCAAGGCTCAAGAGGTGGCTTTACATTCTTAAAGGGTGTGGGATGTGTGCTTAGCTGCTTAGCCGCTCTGACTTTTGCGACCCCATGGAACCTGCCAGGCTCCTCTGTCCATGGGGATTTTCCAGGCAAGAATACTGGAGTGGGTTGCCATTTCCTTCTCCAGGGGCTCTTCCCAACCCAGGAATTGAACCCCAGTCTCCTGCACTGCAGGCAGATTCCTTACCAACTGAGCTACGAGGTAAGGATAATTATACATAAAAAAGAAAGAATAAAGAAAAAGTGAGAGGACTGATGTGGCCTGCAAAGCCTGTAGTGTTTACTATCTGGTCCGTTACAGACATATATATGCCAAGTCCTCCCCTGAATCACTGGGTGTACTGAGGCAGCACTGTGTATATTATAGGTTTGCTATATTTTCAATATGGAGCTTAATTAAAATGAGATTCTATTAAGAAAAAAATGCTTTGGAGATAACCTTCTCTGGAGCCTTTCCGTGCGAGGTGGATGAAGTGAGTGGCCACCCTTTCTGGGGGTGTGGCAGGAGGCAGAACTCTAAGCAGACGCAACAAAAACACATTCCCAAGTGCACGGGGTCGCAAGAGCCAGACACAATTTAGTGACTAAACCGCAACAACAAAGGTGCAGGCTGAGGCCCCAGAGACTCCGGAGGCAGCAACACTGGCTTGGAGGGAGCTGTATATACTGAGGAACCCCAGCTTCCCCCACAGCCTTCCCCCCAATATCCCCGGCCTTGGAGACTGGTCTGGGAGCAGGGCCCTGGGCCCCAGGCGAGAACCGTCAGGGCGGGTGGTGCCACGAAACCCAAAGGGGCCTCTGCGGACAGCAGACCCGGGTTTGACTCCTCGCTCTGTCTCTGGCCTCCGACACAATTCAGTGATCAGTCTGAGCTGATTTCTTCGTCGGCAAACAAGGGGACTACAATAGCACCCACGCTGGGGAAGATCTGAGACGACGGGTACGGGGCATCGGTCCTGGAGTCTCGCACACAGGAGGTGCTACCCTTGGACACGCCAGCCGCCTCTCACGACGGACCCAAGGACCACACTCCCACCCAGCGTCCTGCGGGCACTCTGAGCTGTCCCTGGTCAGGCCAGCCAGAGGGCCGGTCGTGTCTCCTCTCCGATCTACGTATCAGGGGAGCCCCTTAACTCACAGGTCTCGGTACTGGTCAAAGGCGTTGTTGGCTTCCACCTCCAGCTTCCTCAGCCGAGCAGAAGGCATGGCCCCGTCTTCCAGGGGAGGGTCATACTTGTTACTCCATGGTGACCTGCAGGGCAGAGGGAAAAGGTCACACGACCCGTTCCAGGCAGACAGGGCCGTCGAGCCCATCAGCCCCAGCTTCTGAGATTTCAGAGGAGCAGCCGCGACCCGCAGGCCCTGGCCACAGACGCGGCCTCTGCTTTCTAGAGGCTCGGAGAGCAAGGGCTCAGGGTGTCAGACCTGGGTGTGACAGCCAGGCCCCAGCTCCCACTGGCTGTGTGTTTCTAACACGTGTCTTGAGTTCTCTGAACCTCCTTTTCCTCGTGTGTAAACAGAGGCTACTCTTTACCCACAGGGCTGCTTCGAGGAGCAAAGGAGGAAAGTGCATCAAGTGCCCATCTTTTAAAAGTCTCCCTTTGTTCTCACCACTGTATTGATGAAGAGAGATCCCTCAGTCCTTCCTGACTTGCCAGCCATTCTGGAGAAAATGTGACTCTCCTCACAGATCGTCTCAGGCAATTAAGGACTAAAGTGAGAGCTGTCGGTTAGGGCAGCAAGAGACCGCAGATCGCACGTGAGGACACCCCAGGGACGGAGTCCCCCCCGTGGCAGAGGACGGCCCTCCAGCCTCCGTGGGCTGTGTGCACACAGAACACTGCGGAGTAATGAGAACCAGCCTCGCTTTTTCCAGCCCAAAGACTCGCTGTGCTTTTAAAAATGTGTTCTGCCACATCAGGAAAGCATTTAACCACAGAGGGTGCTGGGAAGGTGGTTGTAAGGGAAACGCACTCGTTAATTCCCGCAGGTGGACGCCACAGGGCTGGGGGTGGAATCACAAAGGAGAGAGGGAAAAAGAGAGGCGGGCAGGGCGACGCGGAATCCGGACAAAGTCCTTCACACCCTGGGCTGTAAAGAGCGAGAAGTCAGTGGTCAGAAACCCTACTGCCTTTCCCGTCTCCCCGCCCGATCACACCACTTCACGTCGCAAAGGACTCAGAACCGACTGATTTGGGATTGACGGTAAGGGACAAAAGGCATCCCTGTCTCCTTAACGAATCCTGTGTACAAACATCTTTCTTCCTGGTACGTGACGCCCGGCACCTACCTCAGCAGATCCATCACGTCGGCCGGGCAACTTCCACGTCGCCCTCGGGCAGAAGCCCCCTTTCGAGGCTGCGGGCCCACAAAGGTGAGTGAGGGCAGAGTCGCTGTGCCAGGGGACCCCGAGGGTCTCCCCGCAGTAGCTGTCCTCAGAGGAGGAGGTGCCTGGGCAGCCTTCTTTCCACACCAGCCCCCACCTCACTCATGCGCGTCAGGAGACCCTGCAACAAGGGCGTGAGCCATCCCTGCTGCCCTGTGACCAGCAGGCAGCCCGTGGGTCACACTGGCTGTGCCCAGGCCACAGGCAAGGGTGCCGGGGCCTGCCAGGGCCGCGCTCCCCTCTCCCGCCCCGGGCAGGGCTGGTCTCACCGCGCTCACCCCTCAAAACAGCACTGCCTGGCACAACTTCCCCAACAATGGCAGTGTTCTGCGTCTGTGCATCCGGAACGGTAGCCGGGAGCTTCAGGTGGCTCCTGAGCACCGGTGTGGCTGCGGAATTGAACCCTAAAACTCTACTGAACTGGAACCTAGTTCAGACGGTCAACTTGAGAAGCTAAGCTCCCGGAGGGCAGGGGCCGTGTCTGTCCTGCTTCCCACCTGGAAGGGGGCCTGGCGCTCCACCACATGCTCGAGAACAGCAGTGAAGTAGGAGAGTGTGTGGGTCACGGCACTCCCGTCTCCACCCTGACACGCAGCAGGAGGAACTGGCTCTCCGCCTGCCCCCCACCGCTTGCCACGGTCACAGCCTGGCCCCCTCCGGGCCCCAGGCAGCAAGGGTGCTCTGGGCAGGAGCCCACGGCACGCTCTGCCCTCGTGGCCCAGCGCCCAGCATGGGGCGGGGAGGAAAGGGCCCCCCGCCAATCTGGCGGGTGCGCCTCCGAACCGACAGAGATGAAGCAACTCTCTGCTCTTTCTGCTGGGGGAAACCTAAGAATTAAAAAAAAAAAAATCAATGAAGACCTCTTACCAGACCCAAAGGTGAAGAGTGCTGTCACCACCACTATTTATACATAAACCAGGAGGCTTGGTACCTCCGCTCACCAGAGGGGGTGGAAAGGAATCTGAGTGTGAGAACCTCCACTCCTCACCTGCCCTGCAGGCCCCTTCAGAGGCCTGGCCTTCGCAGCCGCGGTTACACGGCCACTGCTGTCTGGGGGCCGGGGGGTGCTGTAAGACCCGCCCAGCCGGATTTTGTTTAAAGGTGACCCGACTGAGACATAGGAGCCCATCTCTCTTGCTGACTGGGAGTCTGGAATTTTCAAGAAGCCTGTAACTCACATCTCCCCTGGCTCACAGACGACAGCATTTCCAGCCGTTAGTCCTGGAGCCGGGGTAATTGTAGCTGGGGGAAAAAAATCATAACATTACCCAGAATATTCTGAGTGGAAGGGGCACTCAGAACACATTAAAGAGCTTAAATGGAGGCCATTTGAAAAAAGACAGATGGACAGGAACGCTTAGATTTCAAAAGTCAGGCCTTTCATTTCCCTCGGAGAATGCTTTTTGTTTCAGCTAACAGGTTTCAAACAGCGCTGCTGGCAAACTGTCACACCATAAGGATCTTATTTAAGCAAACGATCAAACACAGTTAGGACAGAAATGTGTGGAGAAAATCAGAAGACCTTGAAGTTGTATACCGAGAAGAGAAAGAAGGAAAGCCCTGTGCCGGGCTCCTCTTCGGCCGAAGACCCCCAGGCCCCTGGGAGCCCCCAGGAATGCAGATGGGAGCCGGCAGGGTGACCCGGAGTGGACATAGCTCCAGCCTTCCAGCAGCCACTGGGGAAGAGCTGTCTCAAACAGCAAGCCCGAATTTTCAGGAGGAAACAAGAAACGTGACGATGACGTTGACTTAGCAAGCCTCAGCTCTGGGGCCCCTCTTCCAGGATGCCCCCACTGAGGACGGGACGCGGCCCTCTGCCCAGGACCCAGCAGTGGCCAGCCCCCTCAGGCTGAGCCGGACCTGCCTCAGGCGGTCTCACCACCTTGGAGCCGGATGCCCACCTCTGTACCTCCATCCCCACGCAGACCTCCCTGGACTCAAGAACATACACAGGCTGTCTGACTCTCCACTTCCATCCGCTGGGCATCTGGAGCTTAAGATGCCCCCAAACCCGCCCCCCGCCCTGAGCCTTCCTCGCCTCCACGGTCAGGCGCCCCCCCGTCCCTCCAGCCGCTCCTCCCCATTCCCGCCATCAGCAAACCCCACTGGCTCTGCTTCTCAGACCGACCTCAAACCCGACCACCTCTCCCCGCCTCCACTCTGGGCTCCAGTCTGGATCAGGCAGAAGTACATTCTTCACCCAACTTCCATCTGAAGCTAGGAAAGGCACACGGTTCTAGGACAGCCGTCTGGTCTCTTTTAAGTAGCATTAGTTCTCTGTAATCTCCCCGCCAAGTTCTGGAGAACGGCTACCCATCCCAAAATTCTTGCCTGGAGAATCCCCAGACAGAGGCGCCGGGCGGCTACCACCCACGGGGTCGGACAGGACTGAGCGACTGACACCTCCCCCCACTTCACTTTCTGTGCCAGGCGGCACTCCAGGGGCATTGCTTCCCTTGACCCCCAAGCGCCCTGCACTGGCCTGCGTCCCCTCGCCCTGCCTTCAAGGCCTCTGGCCTCCCCTCCACCCCAGGCTCCCCTCCCTGCCGGGCTCACTGGACACCGCGTCCCACCCGGGGCCTTCACGCGGGATGCTCTGCCCCCAGACCTGCGCGGGAGGGAACCTTCTCGTCCTGAAGGCTCACGTCAGCCTTGACCAGCCTGTCCCAGCCGGCCCTGCCGCCCCCTTCCGCCTCTCCCTATCCTTGTCCACTCTTCAACAATCTCCACGGTTTCCACATCTGCCTACTCTCTGGATTCCTCAGCAGGACACACAGGCTGCACAGAAAAGCGCCTCAGGGCCTGCTCCCTGAGACGTGCTGCTGAGCACCCCGTGAGGAGAGTGAGCCCTGCCCCCTCCACCTGACACTCGAGAGAACCAGGGCCCAGAGGCTGACCCGCAGAGGGCCCAGCTGCTCCCGCAGGCGGTGCTGCCCCAGAGCCCGTGCCGGCTCCCCCCGCGGTTTTCTCCTGCTTTTACTTCTGAGGGCCCACCCGGCCCCCAGAGAGCACGAGGCCAAGGCAACGAGACTTAGCCCAGGCTCTGTGGCCTCTGCATAAACCTAAGCCGACTGCGTTCCTCCCCCATTCTCCAAGGCAATGACTGTCGCCAGCCATCCCGGGAATACTGGGCGGGTTTAAGGTTTTCCCATCTTTCCCCACTCCATCCTTATCAGGGCTTCCCTGGTGGCTCAGCTGGTGAAGAATCCGCCTGCAGTGCGGAAGACCCCGGTTCGGTTCCTGGGTCGGGGAGATCCCCTGGAGGCGGGACAGGCTGCCCTCTCCAGGAGTCTTGGGCTTCCCCGGTGGCTCAGATGATAAAGAATCTGCCTGCAGTGCGGGAGACCTGGGTTCGATCCCTGGGTTGGGAAGATCCCCTGGCGAAGGGAAAGGCTACCCACTCCAGTATTCTGGCCTGGAGAATTCCATGAACTGTATAGTCCATGGGGTTGCAAACAGCTGGACACGACTCAGCAACTTTCACTTTCACCTTTTTTTTAATATTTAAGAACTTCTAGGCATCTTTAAAAACCTAGCTCAGACATCCCCCCCTTCAGGAAGTCTTCCTGGAGTCAACTTTGGCCTTCTCTATGCTGCCCTCAATAAGCCTGGCCCTGGCTGCAGGAATCAAGTCACAAAGTGACCAGATCCTGGTGTGTCCCTTGCTCTAGCCTCGTGCTCACCTGGGGGCAGGCATGAACACTGACTCAGTCATTCACAGCTCTGGAAAGGGTGATGGTGAGACAAAGGGAGGGCCCCATGTCTGTCTGACAAGCTTCATTCACACGCCCTTAAGCACACAGGCCCTCCCTGCACGTGGGATCCCTGTCATGCGCACACCCTGGACCTTCTCCTTTGCAGGATTCGATGTGATGTTTAATGAAGCAGCTCGTTGTTTTTTAACAACATCTCTCTCCCGTTAGACTGTGAGCCCCACCAGGACAGAGGCCCCCTCTTCACTGCTGCACCTCCAATGTGCACTAGAGGTGCTCCACAAACATCAACTGGTCGAGACTGGACGGCAGGATGGACGGAAGGACGGACAGAACAGGAGGAAGGAGGCTGATGGGCCTTCAGCTGTCAAAGCCAGTGGCCCCTGAGCTGTGAGCAGCAGCAGTTAGCGGCCAGGGCGGGCCTGGCACGCCTGCTGCGTTCCCGGGGCACGAGCTCACCTATAGGAGTCCCCATCTCTGTTGTAGTCACACAAGAGGTAATCCTTTCCCACCACCTTGTCTCTGGCGATTTTCAGAGGCTGGTCAACGGAAGACAGGAGGTCTTCACATAGGCTGGGGACCTGGCAGAAAGAGAGGAGAAGGCAGAGGGGTTAGGACCACGCGTCGAGCCCCGGCTGGCGAGCGGCATCGCAGCCGGCCCGTGGTCAGCATATTCAGCATCTGGCCCTTGGGACCCTGCCAGAATCAGGGGCCCGTTCCTTTCTTTTCCACATGTGTCTGATACCAACTGCGTCCCGCTGTGAAGAAACCTGTTCCTGGATTACATGGAGCGTGAGTTCCCACACGGCCTCCCCTCCGAACTGCCTGCAGCTTTAGTGATGGGGCCGCCAGGGTGGCCCAGCACATGGAGGTGCGTGTGTGCCGGGGACCGCTCTCTGGGAGGCAGAGCACACGCTGGGGTCCTGAGAGGATGGGAAGCTGCACACACACGGGAACCGGGGAAGGCGGGGGAAGAAGAGCCTGTCCGTGCCGGGCGCTCTGCAGGCTCCCGCGCTGGGTGGAGCTGCCAATTCTTGCCAGGCCCCCAGCCAAGCATTACTAGGTCGGTGAGCGGCATCAGCCCTACCTGCAGCAAGGTAGCACCCCGCCAGCTTCCCACAGAGCCGAGCCCCAGCTCCTGTGCTCAGGCTGACCCCCCGGGACCCCTCACTGAGGGGGGCGCCCAGAATCCCAGGGCAAACGCTGCTAAACTGGACGCGGAGCTCTGCTAGGAACCAGGCCTCTGGGCTCTTCCTCCCAACTCAAACATCAACTTCCATCAAAATATTCCAGGCAGGGAGGGCTGCATTCTCAGGAATGGACTCCTCCAGGTTTGAGTCACTTCCACACTATATTTTCAACGTGCTGACTTATGCGCTTCATGGGCCTGTGTTAACGGAGGCCCCATCGTATCGTTAACCAGACAAGTTGGCTGCCAACGGCAGCAACAACCCTTCCACATGGAAAAGTTAGATCACGTGGCTGACAGCCACGGCAGTCCTTGAGGGCCCCGGAAGACCCTCGCTGCAACCAGAGACACACGGACAGGGGTCACCGCCACCTCGGAGACCACCAGCCTCCACAGGCTTCTTGAGGCACCTCTGCTGACTGCGGGGTGCTTCCGAACTCAGCCCAGAAGGCACTGTCTGGCACACCCCGGAGACGGCGACCATGCCCGCAACTCGCGGCTGTTTTGTGTGAGCAAGACACTGGGCAGCACCCCAGACACACACACACCCCCCATTAACCCCCTTGTACGACCGCTTGTTTCAGAATTCCTTCTGGAAGCAAAACCCACCGAGTGCTCGACTCTCCCCGAGAAAGACACACAAAACTGGGGCTGACCTCAGCTCGTTTCAGTGCCGACGACACCAGGCGTCGGCCACGCATCGCGCCCTACGCCGTGCTCTTCACAGGCGCCATGCTGCCTGCTGGAAGCTCACAGCATCTTGTGAAGTCGTGATGCATTACTCCCATCCCACAGTCGTGAGTTCACCCAAGGCCCACACAAGGAGAAAACAGCAGGGGGAGAAGTCTCCCCCTCTGACTGGAAGCCTGGTTTAATACACAGCGAGGAGGAAGGAGGAAGTCAACATGAAAAAACTAAGATCACGGCATCCAGTCCCCTCACTTCATGGCAAGCAGAAGGGGAGGAAGTGGAAGCAGGGGCAGATTTTATTTTCTTGGGCTCTAAAATCACTGAAGCAGTGACTGCAGTGACGAAATTAAAAGACGCTTGTGCCTTGGAAGGAAACTCTGACAAACCTAGATAGTGTATTAAAAACAGAGACATCACGTTGTCAACCAAGGTCCATACAGTCAAAGCTGCGGTTTTTCCGGAAGTCAGGTACAGATGTGAAAGTAAAAGTCGCTCAGTCATGTCCGACTCTTTGCGACCCCAAGGTCTATGTAGTTCATGAATTCTCCAGGCCAGAAGACTGGAGTGGGTAGCCTTTCCCTTCTCCAGGGGATCTTCCCAACCCGGGGATAGAACTGGGGTCTCCTGCATTACCGGTGGATTCTTTACCTGCTGATCTACTCGGGAAGCCCATAGATGTGACAGTTGTACCATAAAGAAGCCTGAGTGTTGAAGAATTGATGCTTTTGAACTGTGGTGTTGGAGAAGACTCTTGAGAGTCCCTTGGACTGCAAGGAGATCAAACCAGTCCATTCTAGAGGAAATCCACCCTGAATATTCATTGGAAGGACTGATGCTGAAGCTCCAATACTTTGGCCACCTGATGGAAAGAGCCGACTCACTGGAAAAGACCCCAATGCTGGCAAAGATTGAGGACAGGAGGAGAAGGGGATGACAGAGGATGAGATCGTTAGATAGCATCAACTACTCAATGGACATGAATCTGAGAAAACTCCAGGGGACAGTGGAGGACAGAGGAGCCTGGTGTGCTACAGTCCACAGGGTCGCAAAAAGTAGGACACAACTGAGCGACTGAACAGGAGTCGGGACGCCCAAGGTACACCCGGCTGAGAAGTGATCCCACCCTGCTCAGCTACGGAAGGCCACAGAGTCTCTCACCTAGAAAAGTCCAAATCAAGGCAAGGAAGAGTTCAGAAGCCTCCGCCCAGGGCATCTGGGATTTGAAGTGGCCTTGCTTTCCAGTCGCTGGCCACTTGAGATGGCCCCAGGCACCTACATGCCTGCCGGGCTTGTGACAGCCTCTCCCCGGCATCACTGTTCTGCTGGGCTGGAACCTTGCCTTACCTGCTGGGCCAGGACGCTACTGGCCTGATAGACCCTGGATTATAGTACAGGCTGAGTGAACAGACTCTGAAGTCACACTTCCTCACTCTACTCCTCACTGGCCTCTTGGCCTGGGGCAACTTACTGAACTTCTTTACCACCTGCAGAGTGGGGAAAAGAACAACCGACCCAGCTGGCGGTGACACCTTCACTCGGGACTCAGCACAGCGCCCAGTGGAGGGCAAGTGTGCTCGTCAGGAACTGATGCGCTGATGTCCCTGCCTGCTGTTCTCAGCCATCAGCTCCAGCCTGGGCAGCAGTAGCTCCAGCCTAGGTCACACCTGAACATACTGTACCACCCCAGGCGCTGGGGGGAAAGGCACCGCTGAGAGCCAGCTCTGCCGAAAGAAAGCTCTGCCCAGAGCCCCACTGCCGGCTCCCCCGAGCCCTGCCGCGGGCAGCTCCGTCTCCAACACAGGATGCTCCCAAGATGATGGGATTTGGTATAAAACAGGCTTGACTGCAGTCCTATCCCAAGAGGCTAATCTGTGGAACAAAGATATTTCAGTAATTTCTTCCAAGCACTTATACTGACACTGAAACCACTTTTGTTTTGTTTTTGTTTTAACACTGATTTTTTACTCTCTCCCCAGAATGTAAAGGTTTTCCAGGGCAAAGACTTTGATGCTGTTCACCACAGAATCCTCGGTCCCCGGGACAGTGAATGAGTGACACACACAAGCCCTTGAAACATGGCAGGGGGTGGGGAGAAAGGGGGGACTTCTACAAGTCCTTACGCGCGCGCGCGTGTGTGACGAGCTAAGTTGTTTCAGTCAGCGTCCTACTCTCTGCGACCCCATGGACCACAGCCTGCCGGGCTCCTCTATCCGCAGGATGCCATTCCCTCCTCCAGGGGGATCTTCCTGACCCAGAGACTGAACCCACATCTCCTGCCCTGGCAGGCGGGTTCTCTACTGCTAGCACCATCTAGAAGCCCCTGTTACAAACTGGGGCTTCCCAAAGGCCAATCAGCTTTATTTTTAAATTAGTAACCTGATGGGTAGCAAGAATCTTCACCCAGAGTGTCCAATCAGGAATCACACTTTGATTGTTACCAACGACAGTGTCAGTGTGGCTCCAGCCAGGCATCTCAAACAGGAGCCGGTGATGGCTCCAGAGCAGCACAGACGAGGGAGTTTCAGCCGAAGTCCTGGGTGTGTGCGTGTCTGCGTGTGTCTGTGTGTGTGTCCTCTGTGTGTGTCCTGGGTGTGTGCGTGTCTGTGTGTGTGTGTGTCTGTCTGTGTGTGTGTCCTGGGTGTGTGCGTGTCTGTCTGTGTGCGTGTCTGTCTGTGTGTGTGTCCGGGGTGAGTGTGTATCTGTGTGTGTGTGGGAATCTCAGTGGAAGTTCTAGGTGTGTGTGTCCTGGGTGAGTGCGTGTCTGTGTGTGTGTGTGCGGGGAGTCTCAGTGGAAGTCCTAGGTGTGTGTGTCCTGGGTGAGTGCGTGTCTGTGTGTGTGTGCGGGAGTCTCAGTGGAAGTCCTAGGTGTGTGTGTCCTGGGTGAGTGTGTGTCTGTGTGTGTGTGCGGGAGTCTCAGTGGAAGTCCTAGGTGTGTGTGTGTCCTGGGTGTGTGCGTGTCTGTGTGTGTGTGTGTGTGTCCTGGGTGAGTGTGTGTCTGTGTGTGTGTGCGGGAGTCTCAGTGGAAGTCCTAGGTGTGTGTGTGTCCTGGGTGTGTGCGTGTCTGTGTGTGTGTGTGCGGGAGTCTCAGTGGAAGTCCTGGGTGTGTGTGTCCTGGGTGAGTGTGTGTCTGTGTGTGTGTGCGGGAGTCTCAGTGGAAGTCCTGGGTGTGTGTGTCCTGGGTGTGTGCGTGTCTGTGTGTGTGTGTGCGGGGAGTCTCAGTGGAAGTCCTGGGTGTGTGTGTCCTGGGTGAGTGCGTGTCTGTGTGTGTGTGCGGGAGTCTCAGTGGAAGTCCTGGGTGTGTGTGTCCTGGGTGAGTGCGTGTCTGTGTGTGTGTGCGGGAGTCTCAGTGGAAGTCCTAGGTGTGTGTGTCCTGGGTGAGTGTGTGTCTGTGTGTGTGTGCGGGAGTCTCAGTGGAAGTCCTAGGTGTGTGTGTCCTGGGTGAGTGTGTGTCTGTGTGTGCGTGCGGGAGTCTCAGTGGAAGTCCTGGGTGTGTGTGTCCTGGGTGTGTGCGTGTCTGTGTGTGCGGGAGTCTCAGTGGAAGTCCTGGGTGTGTGTGTCCTGGGTGTGTGCGTGTCTGTGTGTGCGGGAGTCTCAGTGGAAGTCCTGGGTGTGTGTGTCCTGGGTGAGTGTGTGTCTGTGTGTGTGTGTGGGAATCTCAGTGGAAGTCCTGGGTGTGTGTGCCCTGGGTGAGTGTGTGTCTGT